GCCTTTAATTCAATGTTTTTCCCCCTAATTTACTGTTGGTGGCTGTTTTTGCCTCATTGACTTCCATTATATCAACATTTTTTAATTATAAAATCATGACACCATATAATCATGCATTTTTGATTGTTTGTGGTTTTCCCTGTTGGAAAGAGTAATCTTTTGTTGTAATTTTTGCTGTTGATCATCAGTTGGCAGCATTATCCCTTTAGATAGGCTTGTGCAAAACAGCTTAGTTTCTCGATTTTTTATGGAGTATAACAACAAATTAAAGTGTGTGTATGTGTGTCTGTGCGTGTGAGAGTGAGAGAGTGACCTGTATGCACTTGATGTGTCTGAAAAAAACTAAATATGCATCTCAGCTCTCAGAACTACATGGAGTAAACAAAACAAAGACTGTGTATTTATGCACCATCAAATGTGGTTAATGGAAGTCAATGGGGCAAAAACAGCCACCAACAGTAAATTAATGGAGAACAAATGAAAAGCTAACAATGCATCAAATCCAATTATTCACTAATTATTCACATGTCCATGACTGTGATAAAAGCAAAAAATAAAATAAAATAATTTAAAAATCCAATTCACAATTAAGTTTTATATTAAAAATATGTCATTTTGTGTGTTTGTCTCAAGCATTTGTGAAATTGGCAATTAAAGAGTTAAAATCCTGTAATTTTCTTAACAATTTAGTAGCTTTGATCAAGGCTGGGGTTGATTTATAGATATGCAAAATAAGTAAATAAATATATATATCTGTAACATAACAAAAGGATAGTAAATATGAACAGTGCACAGGGGTTAAAAATTATTTCCAGTAATATTCCAACACAGAACAGTAATACATGAGCAAGAGGCTTGTTGCAAATATGTGAGTACACATAGAGAGGGAATAAAGGATCACATCAAAAAGCATAAGTATTAAGTTGGGTTGTATAGGAGCATGACCAACAGAACAGCACATTCCTTTATATTTCATCTTTGCAATCGGATTACACACTGACAGTGGCTCTTGGGATGGGGGAAGCTGACTGTGCATTATTTGTTAAATAAAGCAAAATAAATAGTGCTGTGTGTCAACAAAGTTGAGAACCGGGTTAGTAACTGTACTGTGGTGTTAATAACTGTACTATGGACTGGGTTTCTGGTGACTGCTGCGATCAGATACTACACCAAAGTTGGCAACTCAAAGGGTTACAGACTGTACTAAAAAGCTGAGAACTGTGGGCAGAGTGAAATTACGGTTGTTTTCCAGGAGAAATAACTAAATGGAAAGGTGGCCGGAAATGTGTCTGAAAGATGGGAGACTCCCAGGAAAAACATGAGTGTTGGCAGGTATGCTCCAGGAGTGCTGCTCAAATTAGAGCAACTTTTGTAACTACTGAATGAAGATATTCAGTGATTGAAGGTATTCGGCCTACACATTGTAATAAATCCTGTTTTATGTAGAGTATCTTTCCAAACATATGCCAGATATTCTTTAAGATTCACAAGTAGTAAGGTGATCTAAACAACACTGCACTAAGAAAGAAAAAAAACATTACTCTTGTCAGCAGAGAACTTTTTTGGGGAAAACATCTACTGAATATTGTACATCTCAGGCAGTGTGATGGCCTATTCAGGTATCCCTCAGCTGCCTTAAGACCAGCACATCTATTTGTATCAGAGGAAATTTCACAGGCCAGTGGAGAGACTGCATCATGCCGTCTCCAGCGCTCCGTGAAATATTTCCTTGGCATCAAGAGAAACAGCACTGATGCTGAGGGGTAAACTCTGCAGATAAAGCCAATCTGGAACAAAGGCTAACTAGATGCTCCCATATGGAGCTCATGATCGATATTTAGTGACACAGCAGACACGCGGCAGTGGTATTTAGGATGATTGTGAATGGAAAATGCTAGTGGAGACTATGAAATGTCACTCTCTATTTTAATTGCAGTCATCGGAGCTTTGAAGTAAACAATGCTGGAATTTGTGTGTTTTCTGAGCTGCGACTCGGTGGCTTTGATTCAGGTCTGAGCTTAAGACATGAGGAATTTGATTTGCCATAGCTTTCTATAATGCTTAATATGTGCTGTCGGGGCGTTTGTTTACCAATATGGCAATATTTACCATGATGGCTTCTTTGTCACAAATTTGCAAGGACTAAGGTTTCCGCAGTAAGCCAATTATCCACTAGAGCTGTGTAACTCGCTGAAGCAAGGGATTGTGTTTAAACAGCCGACAGAGCTCTGTGTGTCTGTTTGTCTATTCGCTTCAAATTTTCTACAAGGCAATTCAACAGTTTTACTTTAGGAGCTGGAATTTACCAATAATCTGCTCGATGTTTGTTTATCATGTTAATGTTTGCAGAGTTCAGAATAAAGGTGTGTTTAATGTCTCAAATTCATAAAACAATAACGAGCTGGAAATCATCTAATGCAATACATACAGTATGTGATATAAATTAAAATATAAATATTGTCTACATTTTTAGAAAATAACCTAACTATTGTAACTATTATATAACTATTAACAAAATGCAATTATTTTTTGCAATTATCACTGTTGTTACTAAAATAGTTATATTTTTAGTTAATTATTTCATTTTATTTCCTTTATATTATATGTAGGTACAGCAGAATGAACTGCCTACTTATCCAGCATTTGTTTTACGCAGCGGATGCCCTTCCAGCTGCAACCCATCTCTGGGAAACATCCATACACACTCATTCACACACATACAATACGGACAATTTTAGCTTACCCAATTCACCAATAGCGCATGTCTTTGGACTGTGGGGGAAACCGGAGCACCCGGAGGAAACCCACGCGAACGCAGGGAGAACATGCAAACTCCACACAGAAACGCCAACTGACCCAGCTAAGGCTCGAACCAGCGACTTTCGTGCTCTGTGGCAACAGCACTACCTACTGCGCCACTGTGTTAAAATTAAATTAAATGATATTAAATTCTGGTTCACTAGTTCGAGCCTCGGCTGGGTCAGTTGGCATTTCTGTGTGGAGTTTGGATGTTCTTGTTGGATGGGCTGCTGCTGGATAGGCATCCACTTCGTAAAACATATGGTGGATAAGTTGGCGGTTCCTTGCGCTGTGGCGATGACAAAAATTAAATTAAATTAAATTAAATTAAATTTAAAAAGTCACTCTTGGCAAAATTAAAAAGTATAGGCAAATTTTTAGGATTAAATCACAGATGCAAGCTCTGATATATAGTCTTGGTTTTATAGACTTACTGGCCACTTTATTAGGTACAACTTACTACAACCGGGTTGGACTTTCTTTTGCCACAATCCTCTATGGCATAGATTGAAGAAGATACTGAAAATATTCCTCAGGGATTTTGGTCCATATTGGTATGATAGTTTTAAGAAACCATTCTGAGATGATTTGCGCTTTATCACATGGCGTGTTATCCTGCTGGAAGTAGCCATCAGAAGATGGGTACACTGTGGTCATAAAATGATGGACATGGTCAGCAACATTTCTCAGGTGGGCTGTGGTGATGACATGATAATCAATTGGTGCTAATGGGTCCAAAGCATGTCAAGAAAATATCCCCCACACCATTAAACCCCCAGCAGCCTGAACCGTTGATACAAAGCTGGATGGATCCATACTTTCATGTTGTTGATGCCAAATTCTGACCCTACCATTCGACGATTTTGATGAACCTGTGCAATTGTAGTCTCAGTTTCCTGTTCTTAACTGACAGGAGTGGCACCCAGTGTGGTCTTCTGCTGCTGTAGCCCATCTGCCTCAAGGTTCAATGTGTTGTGCGTTCAGAGATGCTCTTCTGTATACCTCGGCTGTAACCTAGTTATTTGAGTTGTTGCCTTTCTATCAGCTCGAACCAGTCATTCTTCTCTGACCTCTGGCATTATAAAGGCATTTGCACCCACAGAACTGCCGCTCACTGGATATTTTCTCTTTTTCGGACCATTCTCTGCAACCCCCTAGAGATGGTTGTGTGTGAAAATCCCAGTAGATCAGCCGTTTCTGAAATACTCAGACCAGCCCGTCTGGCACCAACAACCATGCCACGTTCAAAGTCACTCAAATCACCTTTCTTCCGCGTTCTGATGCTCGGTTTGAACTCATCTTGACCATGTCTGCATTCCTAAATGCATTGAGCTGCTGCCTTGTGATTGCCTGATTAAAAATTTACATTAATGAATAGTTGGACGTGTACCTATTAAAGCGGCCGGTGAGCGTATGTTGCTGCATTATTCTCATGTTGACACATAAGCGTTTAGAAACAAGGTCTAAATTGCATTTTTGGTAGCAGTCTGATTGAAGTAGATGTTTATTAAAGTACGGGACATAAAAGACAGCACATACATCTAATAAAACTATTATAAAGATGGCCCTAAAAACTATTAAAAATAATAAATCTTCCTGGCAGATACTGTTACTAACAACAAAAACAAAATTAATTGCCATGTATTCTGATGAAAATACGCCTCATTTTTCATAATCACATTTTTCAGGCTTCATAGATACAGAGATGTCATGAGAGGGGAAAGCAATTTTTCTGAGTCATATTAACAGTGTCATCCTTATTCATGCTATATGGTTAATAAGCATGCAGTCATCACAGCTGTGGTTCATTATATTCTTCCCGTGGGAGATAATAATTAAAACTTTATATCCTAAACTACTGCGTGAAACAGACGCTACGCACGTCATTGATTTCACCTGAGAATTATTCTGAGAAGACATCTGTCAAACAAGCTTCATCTAACTGCCAGTTTCTCATCCTGAAAATCAAAAGTGAAATAAGTTGTGTACTTATTATTACTCAGCCCTTGTTAAAATGTTACCAAACACCATCATGTAATCCTTCAGTGCTTTTAAATGTTTGGGAGGAATAAGTAAATTGGTGTTAGATATTTCAATTACAAAACTTGTCATGGGTAAAATGGTTTATTTTTCTCTTCTTTTGCTTTATAATATACTGACAAATCTCTATTTTTAACGTGCTTTTTGCTTCTTTTGTTTAGATTGACTATTAATGCAGAGTGCCAGCTTCAGCTTCATAACTTTCCCATGGATGAACACTCCTGCCCCCTCATCTTTTCCAGCTGTGAGTATCCTTTCATTAACCTTCACAGATTCAACGCTTTATCTCTTCCTTTCATTTCTCATAGTTATGGATGTTTTGATTGTCATTTGATTGTTAAAAATAAAGGGACAGTTCACCCCAAAAAAATGAAAAGTTACTCCTCATTAAGTGTTTTTAAAGCTTTAGAGAGAGGTCTGGCTGCAGACTTGGTGCAGATGCAATCTAAGCTGCATCCAATGCTTTTTATGTGTTCACCTGAACCCCACCCCTCACAGTGACGTAACTAGCTCCACCGAGTGCATTGTGTCTGACATTGCATCTGTGAGCAATGCAATCTCAGCTTGCATCACAAATGTTGCATCCAGATACTATTGAAACCTTTATGATATTCTTTATTCTGCTGAACACAAAAGAAGATATTTTGATAAAAAGCTAAAAACCAGTAACCGTAGACTTCCATAAAAGGAAAAACTAATATTATGGAAGTCAATGGTTACAGGATTCCAGCTTTCTTCAAAATATCTTCTTTTGTGTTCAACAGAAGAAGAAAAAAATCAAACAGGTTTAGCTGAAGTAATGGATGAGAAAATAATGACAGAATTTTCAGTTTTGGGTGAACTATCCAGGCCCGTGGCCAGAGGGGGTTTGGGTGGTTTCAAAAGAATTTGTACCATCCATGAGCTCATTTGTCTTATTTTGACTGTTAAATCATCATAAATAGTGAAAATAATCTAATGAAAAAGGCTTTAAGACCAAACGGAATCCTCTGTTGGCTGGCTCTTCGATGTGACTTCAGCTGATCAGTTTTGGTCAATGCTAACAAATATTCTTCACATCCAGCTGTGCAAGAAAACATACAATACACAATGTAAGAGATTCCTTTCGCTACTTTATTGTTTTTAAATAGAGAAAACATTTTACAAGTAACTTTTATTTTAAATCTTGGACCTTATTCTTGAAAGAAAAAAGACCAATAAAAGGTGTGAAGCATCAAAAAACGCCCATATTAAAATCAATTTGAACTCTAATTTGGCTATAATTGTTATCCATGAATTTTCAAATGTACTTTTTTTAAAAGAGAGGTTAGAAAAATCATGAAGCTTTACATTATTATTATTATTATTATTATTATTATTATTATTATTATTATTATTATTATTATTATTATTATTATTATTATTTAGGGTTTTTTTTTTACATTCAAATGCCAAATTATGACTGAGAACAGTCAAATGTACTGGCCAGTTTGCTATTTGCCTATTAAATAACAATAGACCACAGTTTTTTTATTTAAAACATTAATAGATTCTTTTTTTTTTCTAACGATATATGATGTAATAAACTTTCATTTTAAAAATAAGTACATTATCATATTTCTTTATTCTAAATCTTTAGGAAATAATTTTGGTAAATTAAAAAGTGGGGTTATTCTGACCATCCAACAAGCTAATTAAGCTATAATATGTGCTTAGGATGTCACTAAAATGCAGTATTTAAATCTCATAATTAAATAGAACATGAGGTGAATAACTGCAAAAAGGTCCGCTTCTAGAAAAAAAAAGAACCACCCTTTTGACCAGGTCGGCTATAGGCCTGCTATCCTATAATGCAAGGAACCATGCAAAAATAAGCATTGGTAATCTGCTTAGTTATCATTAGTTGCATTATTTATATCTGTATTATTGGTGTTATTATTGGTATTATTGCCACTGTAGTGTTCATTTCACCTGAAAACTGCACTATGTATTTGGCTATATAAGTACATTTTGCAATATTTCTTATAATCATGCTAGCAATGCAATCATGTATGGCAGTTTTCATAATGCATTTATATTCAGTGTTGCATAAGCAACTTTGATCTTTTTATATGCTCAAAGCACCGTTTGCTCGATTGTCTTTTTCTGCAGTAAATGTGCAGTTTACAAACAAAATGGCTTAGATTGTTGTTAAAATATTCTGAAAGTCCTCTGTAGCCATTGGTTTTGATGTATGATTTGTATTTTACCACATTTCTTTCATAATAACAGCACTAATACATTTCTAAAAAGTAAACCAGACCTATTGCAAAAGCAGTTCAAGCTATATTTGATAATATTTCACATGTGAAACGCATTTGGAGGCAATCCAAAAATGTAGATTAATTTAAAGCTGAGGAAGGGAGGAAATAGCTTGTGAGAAATGAAATTTGGCACACACAAAAATACTAACATATTACATATGGAAAATAAATCAGGAGAAGTAAAGAAAATGACCCCTTTAACTGAGAAAGACTATCAGAAGTGATATTTAGACTGTAAAATTGGATTTTCTGGATAGCATTGCAAGTGCACTGTTCTGAGAGCAGACGCAGCATTGCTGTAGGGAGTGTGTCACAGCTAATTAGGATTTCACGCTTTATGAAGTAATATCTAATTTCTGCTCTCCATATATTCTCTTACATTGAAACTAAGCCGGGGATTTCATTGTATGTATACACCAAGGGCACAGCTAGGCTGGTAATTACTCTGCATGTCCGATGGGCTCTTGAAGCCTGGCTTCATTAGTAGGGTGTCATGAATGGCATTACTCAAGGGTGATGGGTAATAGGTGATGCATCTGTGGTGTTAAGAGTCCAGGCAAGGAAGGACGTAGGAAAATTGGAAAAGTTTGTGTCCCTGCGTAATATGCTTTCTCACTTCCGATTCTCACCCAGCCTTTGTTTCTACCGTAATACAGATATCAGGGCTTTCTAACAAGTTTTTTTTTAATACTCATTTACGGTGCCATGCTCTGTATGTCATCCTGTTCCAACACCTATTTGCAAAACCCTTTTTCAACAATACACTACCTGACAAAAGTTTTGTCGTTGATCCCAGTTGTAAGCACAACAAATAATAACTTGAATTCTAGTTAATCATTTGGAAAAGTGGCAGAAGGTAGACTTGTTTTTTTTAGTGAATCGTCTGTTGAACTGCATCCCAGTCATCACAAATACTTCAGAAGACCTATTGGAACCCACATGGACCCAAGATTCTTACAGAAATCAGTCAAGTTTTTGAATGAAAAAAAATTATGGTTTGTGGTTACATTCGGTATGGTGGTATACGAGAGATTTGCAGATTGGATGGGAACATCAACAGCCTGAGGTATCAAGACAATTGTGCTGCCAATTACTGTACATTACAAACCCCACAGGCTCATACTTCAGCCTCACGTCAAAGTTCCTGAAAGCAGAGAAGGTCAAGGTTCTCCAGGATTGGCCAGCCCAGTCACAAGACATGAACATTATTAAGCATGTCTGGGGTAAGATGAAGGAGAGAAGGTGTTAAAGATGAATCCAACAAAACCTGGTGAACTTTGGGAGTCCTGCAAGAACGCTTTCTTTGCTGTTCCAGGTGACTTTATTAATAAGTTATTTGAGTCATCGCAGAGATGTATGGATGCAGTCCTCCAAGCTCATGGGAGTCAATCAGAATATTAATTCTTTTTCCACTGCACAGTGACTTTATATACTATACTTATTACTGTTAAGTGACAAGACCTTTGTCTGAGCAAAGTCAAACCTTACTGACCTAATTAAATTATTAAAAATCAAGGCATGATCATATTTTATTTAGGTAAAATAAGTGTAATCTTGACGCCTTTGCCTTTCATATAAGCCACTTCTGAAACCAAATGATCAACTAGAACTCAAGCTATTAGACTTTTGTCAGGTAGTGTATTTAATACAGTTCATGAGGCAAAGTGTTGTTCAAAAATCTGTTTTATTTAGAAAATGACACTCTAAGAAACATTTTGCATTTTTTTTTATTCTCAGCGATTGCATTATTAAAGATTTAGTATTGTGTCTAATGAGCTATTGAATATTGATAGTTGCCTTTGTTTGTGTGTTTGCTGATCATTTGTGTAGTTTTGATTTGCTTTGTAATATGCCTGAAAGCTTGGCCTTGACTTTATTGACTTGAAACACAGAAGAATGCCCTACATGTCGAAATATTTAGTTGCTCTTCATTGCTGTGAAGACTTTTGATCTCAGACTCAGACCTTTGTCTTTTTTTTTGCAAATAGTTTTTGACATTGTTCAAATCTCTTCGTTCAGAGGAGGTGTGCTAATTCCATTGGATGCTTAGGAAAAAAAAATTTTTATGTGCTAAATATATAAAGAGGATATTTCTTCAACAGTGTTTCTTTCTCATCTCACTCAAAATTAATCAATTTTAAAATGTCATTGCTAGTGATAATGTTAAACAGTATTATGTGAGTTCATTAACTCTTTTTTTTATATGGTGTTGATAAAAGAGTTCTTGACCCTTGCTAATTAAGGTACTTTGGATACAGAAAAAGCTTGGGTGACTTCGCTTTATTTTATTATTATTATATAATTTTATATTACATATTATATGATTTTTTTTTTTACGCATTATTCACCCTTTTACAAGATGTAATATATACACACACACACACACACACACACACACACACACACACACATATATATATATATATATATATATATATATATATATATATATATATATATATATATATATATACATATATATTCATTCATTTTCTTGTCGGCTTAGTCCCTTTATTAATCCGGGGTCACCACAGCGCAATGAACCGCCAACTTATCCAGCAAGTTTTTTACGTAGCAGATGTCCTTCCAGCCGTAACCCATCTCTGGGAACATCCACACACACATTCACACACACACTCATACACTACGGACAATTTAGCCTACCCAATTCACCTGTACCGCATGCCTTTGGACTGTGGGGGAAACCGGAGTACCTGGAGAAAACTCACGCGAACGCAGGGAGAACATGCAAACTCCACACAGAAATGCCGACTGAGCCGAGGATCGAACCAGCGACCCAGCGACCATCTTGCTGTGAAGCGAACGTGCCCACTGCGCCACTGCATCTATATATATATACACGCATTCTATAGAGTTTATCTGAATGTTTATGTTTACATAACTCTACAGTTAATGTATTGTTAGGCAAGGGATGATAACGGGTTTCAAGGTTTACTGCGGT